GGGGGGGGGGGGGGGGGACCTTGAGAGGAAGAGTTCGTCTTGTTCTCTTCCTTCTCCCGCCACCAATGCCCCCACTGAGTTGACTCCGTGTCCTTGGATCCTCGGCGAGTGCTCTGGGGTGAACCTCTGTAGTTCGCGAACGAAGTAACTAGAGGAAGGCCTTAGTGGCCGATTCGTCTGCTGTAGGACCCCCGCCTTCTCTCTATCCCCGATCAACGGGGAAATCCCTTAATTGGAACCTTTTGTGTGTTGCGCCTCATTTTTGTGTTATTTAGTTCGTGATCTTGTTGTTTTGGTTTTCGTTACAATAAATTATTGAGTTGCGTTGTGTCGCCTCACATTCGAAACAGATCGCTAATTCAGTATAGTCCATAGGAGAGACCTTACAAGAATGAATTCGGTCCTCCTTGCATAGAAATGCCCCTCATAGAATGCTTTGAAGATATTACTCTAGATATACATCTCCTTAACAAATCAGTCATGTCTACAAATTCAGAGCTAGGCATTCATAACTTACCATTAAAGCTAATGCTCTTATTAATATAAAAAGTGAGCCAACCCTCTCCATAGCTTCTATTATAAATATTACCATTAAAAACGCACCGATGCAGGTTCGGGTCCGTAGGGGATTCGAGGCTTAGCTCTTGACGCAATACCGCCGAAATAAAAAAAAACTTCGTTCATGGTTGTTCGCTTTGAGGGGTAGGTGATCGAACTTGATACTTCTTTAGCCCTATCAAATCGCATACTATACGTTCATGACATCATACATCCTCTAATTGGTTTTCTCACTAGTTTCGCATTCTCATGCCTTCACATTTAATTCATTCAAGTTGCACAATGCAACAGATCTGAAACTGTAAACATAGCCCCTGTACAAAGCCTCCTGATAAGGCAAGCTAGGAGCGAACGTTGGCAAAGTCTAGGAGAAAGCAAAAGACCTCGCTGTAGCCATTGCCAATGTAAAAGTCACTTCTTTCATGCTCCCAGACTAGTCTGATACCTTCTAGCCAACCCGGGAAGTATTGACCATGATGAGGCAGGTGAGTCAAGAGTTTGATCCCAGGCATGGCCAATCAAGTCAGCCATGTGTATGACATGCCACTCGGCACCAACACTCTCCGTCCAACACGTCAACAGTAAACTTAGAAAGTGTTTGCATACATCCAAGGAGATTGAGGTGAAAACCGGCAGTTGTCGCTGGCTAAATCTGTTTCAAAAAGAATGACTTCAAAAAACGGAATGGAAACGGTGTTCAAAAATACAGTGTATATCCTTCTAGACAAAACTGGTATCAATGAAAAATGAAACGTTCCAATGTTCAATCGGGTAGATTAAAAATGCTACCAACATTTTTGACTCAATCAGTTTATTACAGTGTATCAATTTCATCTTTATGAGAATCTAGCAGTAGTGCTGCGGTCAAACGTCAACAGTAAACGCTGTTGTCAGCTGAAGGGACTATCGAGAAACTCTTGGATTACAATTCGTTTCCATCAATGAAGCCTTGATGCTATGCGATAATGAGCTAGTAAAGTTGAAAACAGTACAACTTGTTAAGACTGAAGAACGCTTTTGAGCCATAATGAAAAGGCTCACATTTCCTGTGATTCGATAGGGTCTTTCAGAAACAGATTAGCTTTGCCGTAATCATAATAACACATCAGCATAACAAGCATCAGACAAATATGAAACGGAGAAAATATGGGAAGTTTTGAACTTTAGAGGGAGACTGTAGCAAGGTTTGAGATTCTCCATTATGTTAATTAGAGGATTCAAACCAATATTGAAGTCAATGATTTTGTGAACGATGGTTGAACTATGCCTGAACTTGCTGTTGCTCGAATGAATTGATTTGCCAACGAAGGACGAGCTTCTACCAGGTGGCATCAAATGGCAGGACCAGCCTGCCTTCTACCACCACAACTGCTTCCCCTACTTTTGCTGTTAAATAGCCGAACAAGTACGAAGTTTGTTCAGAACAGGAAATATAGTTTGTATTAGCAGTATTCATTGAATGAACATCTGTGAAACTCTTCTAAATGGCTGGGATGCAACTACAAATAAATTGCTTATGAACAAAGAGGAACTTTCTGCACAAGGTGACGTAATTTCGTAGCCTTTGGTAAACTGTACAGAAGCTGTTTTTCCTTAGGTGAAGACAACTTCTTGATTGGCGTGCTCAATCCAAATATTCTAAAAAGATCCTATTCTTTTAAGTTAGTTGCCGCTCATGGAGCCGTTCAACACACAATGCTGGTGAATGTGAGCTAAAACTCAAAAAAAAGCAACGTAAAAAAGTACCGAAACTAACGATAAAGAACATTTGGAATTGATTCGAAATAAGTGAGGTAAATAGGGTTTTCAAAAGTAACAATAAAGAATGACGTACAGTGGCTAAAGGCAGTTTTCCTCACTGGTTCTGAGGGAAATTGGATTCCCAACAATTGCGAAAACAAATCATTTGTTCGATTATTTGTTTAAAAGCAGAAACGCAAGCGCGGACAGGATTGGAAGATTGACTCAGACATTAGCTAACGAAGTAATGAGCCTTCTGTGGACTTGTATTACGAAAATAATGTGCCCTTAACCGCTGCTGTTTATTAATCAAAAGATAGATCCGATCGATGAAGCTTTGTGAAACCCCCAAATCATTCAGAATGGCGCAGGACGAGAGTTCAATGAAAAAAGTCAAAAGGGTTAACTCGAAAATGAATTACTCCAGTTCTAGAGGGACAGCTAGAACGATGCACAAGGGGAAGCATAGGCGGTATTAGTATGCTTTAGAACAGGCCCACCGCTAGAGCTAGATATATCATCCCTAAAAGGAAAACGTGGAAGAGTACGAACTGTGGGTCGCCCACTAGTGAGCCTTGGGAAGTTGAAAACCTACTTGGATCAACAAAATTGCAGTTCCTGCCTTGTGACACGGGATTTTTTAAAAAAGCCCAGTATTTCCCTAGAAAAAAATTGACCGACTCTGCATCTTAATCCTTTTATCATGAAGAGTCAACGCAGATGACATCGCTCTGATAGCGAGAAGCAAGGATGAACTCCAGGAAAGCTCCAGAATTGGCAGAGGGTATTGACGGGGAATGGACTCCGGCTGAACGTGAAGAAGACCAAATTCCTCAGCTCCGAGGAGGGCGCGGAGCTAATCGTTGACGGTCGGGGAGAAGCCATCGAAAAGGACTTCGGCTCCCCTGTCTGGGGTGATCTAGCCGCTGATGGTAGCGTGGACCAGGTCTAAAAACCCAAATAAATGTGGCATGGATGAAGTGGAGGGAGTCCACCGATGTCCTCTGCGACCGTCGGTGCCCCAGGACCCTCAAAGAAAAGGTGTATCGGACACTGGTAAGGCCCACGATGCTCTACGGCAGCGACTGTTGGCCCGCGAGTGAATCCCATGAAGGACAGCTCCACTTCGCAGAAATGAGAATGCTCAGATGGGCCTGCGGCTGCGGCTGGACGCGGCTGGATCGGTTCAGAAATGAAGACGTCAGGACGGCTATGCAAGCAGCCCCAGCTCAACTGAAGATGAGAGAGCAGCGCCTGCGGTGGTTTGGGCATGTAATAAGAAGACCACAGAGCCATCCAACAAGGGAGGCAATGGAATTCGATTCCCAAGGTAAGCGACCACGAGACCCAAAGAAGAGATGGCGGAACGTGACCAAGAAGGACCGGAGTCAAGGTAACGGCAGAAGATGCCGTTGATAGAATCAAATGGAGACGGCTGACAAGAGCAGCGGATCCTGCGACGGCGCAGGATTAACGCTAGGGAGAAGAAGATCAAGCGGAGTCAACCTGCGGAAGCCACAATTTTTTTCCACCCGCCAGTTATAGTACAATCACGATTTCCACAGGTAAATCAATGGTAAGTGCAGATATACTGAAACTTTGGATTATTTGAAGATGCAATAGCTAGAGAAACAGTAAACCTACCGTACCTCATGAGAAGAGCCAAGTTATTCCAGATATTTTTTTGTTTTTGTTAACCCGGAAATGTTTTTGTCAAAAAAAACAGAAGATTGTTTAGGTCTACACAGGAATGAATTCCCACTGAGTGACGTTGCACATCCAAAATAAAAAGGCTGGTGAGGTGGGTCACCCGAATGTGGACGTGGGAGGCCTTGATGTTTCTCCAGCCCTACTAAATCAAATAATATACGTCCCTGACATTAAAGCATGAGCGTATAAAAGTGAAGCTGTAGCTTCAATCCCGTGTCCTCGCATTTCTGCAACTTTCGTAGATATTCCTTCCCTCCACCTCACTACATGAAATCTTTAGCTTAACGTTATACAAGTTTAACTCAGTGAAAATGGGCTTCAAAATTTTCCACTATTCTCTAATTTCTCAACAAGGCAGTCAAGAATAATAAAGCTTCAGTATCTTGTTTGATTAGAAGAGTTAACGCATTATATACCGTATGTATACATCCTCACCTATTACTACTAACTAGTTGTCAATCCGCGCCACATATCTCTCGAAATCACCGCCTATCACTGGTAGGGCATGCCAAGTACGTTGGGAATCATCTCAATGAAGGTAGGCACCTCGTACAATACTTACGTTCGAGGGAGTGATGCGGTGATGGAAGAATGAAGCCCTGTCAAAGGTCATCACTAAAAGCTGAAATGCACCATAATCCCAACCAATGAGAAATTTCAGTTATTAATGCACATTCTCATTCTATCCAAAGTCAATTCGTGAGAAAAGAGGATGCGATGATGGGGAAAATCACCGCATATCTAGTCTTCTTCCCTAAATTGATGGTCGATTTAGAAGAGTAGCATTACATCATTGAAAAACACTTCTTTTCTTTAGATATTTCATCGTAGATACAGTTTTTGACAAGAGTTGTGACCAGCTCCTTAACTCACTTGAAAACAGTTGAGAACTTCCTGCCTGATGCTCGTAGTGTGGTGCTTTCTTGGAAGGAGGGGGGGGGGGGGGGGCAGTTTCTATTTTTTGCCCTTCATTTGATAGCGAGTTGACCTTACGACTTTGGCGCGAATATTGTCAACATATCCCACAACATTTCTGAGCACTCAGTATATTCCTATAACTAGTAATCGCTTCCGCCGAAAAATTTTCAGAATGTGGTTGATTTTCCTCATCTTCCTTTCGGGTGTCACTGCCAGCAACAACACTGTCAGCAACGATGAAGAGGTTCCGTCATAAATTCCGACAGATTACTTTTCATTCTATTGTTTCAAATTTTATGCTTACGTAATGGCTTCGGATTTGAACTTGTTCTCAACATTATAGTTCATCAACGAAGCAGAAGTGGAAATCATAAATAGGATCAGTGAAATGGGAAGTGGAACGCTCGAAACAGCCCATCTCACGCCGGAGGCAATGGAAGTAGTTGAAGAATACAAAGTATTAATTCTTATCATCATTTTCGGTACATACTTTCTAAAACCATTGAAGACAGGGATGTAAAAATAATCCTAATGCTCGAAAACCCCATTGATTCTCGAAATTTAACACGAACCTTACTGCAATACCAAATACCCTTCGTGCCGTTTTCGCATTCAACTGAAGGCAGCGTAGGGAAAAGTAGCGCACTATCTTACATGCATTGTCTGGACATTGGATTACCACTCGATACTCGCCTATGTCACCCAAGTCTTCTCTTCCTCTGGGCTGGCCAATTGCTGCCATACTCGTCGGGCAAAGCCCATTAAAAACGACACCGCGATTTGTGTGCAAATCAAATACGAAATGTCCCAAAATCTTTTTGAAAATCAATTGCTTGATTTTTTTGCTACGCGCTTTATTAAAAATGACATTGTTCCCACAGAAAAACTCCATATCATCTTAATCAGAGAAATTTGACCGCCCATGGAAATCATGTTTTTATAGGAGGATATATTAATCGAAAATTTCTTCAGCAAATGCCGACAATGGTGCTTGATCACTTGAATCCGAAGGGAGACTACATTGACGAGATCAATAACAAAACTAAAATCGACGAGAAGCTTTTCCAGGGTGACATCTACCTGAATGAGCGAGTTTTTTTGTTTAAAACAGGATGTCATGTAATTCAAAAATGTGTGTTCAAGGGTGCAGGGTGAGATCATCATCAAGGAGCTTCAAGAGGAACTTGGAGGAGTCAACCGCACCAAACGCCAGGCGATTAGAGACAAAGATGGCGTGAGGCTATGGAATAATTTCACAGTGAACTACATCTTCAACGTTTCTCTAAGTGAGATGAAGTGCTTTTTTACGTAACACGGAATAGATAATTGGACAACAGAGTGAATTTACAGACGAAGATGCCAAAGGAGCCTTTTTGAGGGGAGTGAATATGTGGACAAAAGACACATGCATAAAATTCCAACATTACGATAGCTTACAAGGCATAAACGACGTGGAGCGTCTTAAAGGATACGGTAACACTTTCCCATATTCCGTTCGTATTTCTCCAATCAGACGGTCGGAAAGGATTTTCCTACCAATCAGCATCTGCAGTGATAAATTCAGCCATTTTCAACGCTTCCTTGATCCTTTCGAATTTTTTAAGAGCGATAGAAGATGTATCATACTCACAGGTTACTTTTGTCCTGATGCGCTGTCCCCAGAGCTAAGCATGAAGCACTTTGCCTATTTCCAGGTAAAGATCTACTGATAGTGCAAGCAAAGGGCGGATGTTGGTCGAGCCTTGGAAAAACTGGAGGCCTGCAACAGATTTCTCTAGCAGACGCATGTGAGACAACCTCCATCGCAGCCCACGAGATTGGCCACGCCCTTGGATTTTACCACACTATGTCCAGACACGATCGCGATAAATACGTCATAGTAGACTACGCAAATATTCATGTACTGTCAATTAAAGGATCTAATCGACAGAACTTTTATTAGCCCCACTCTCTTTCAGGAGTATTGGCGAAGTCAATTCGCGTGGCAGACAGTAGAGGAGAATGATAACTTTGGTTTGGACTACGACTATGGTAGCATTATGCACTACCGTGCAACGGAGTAAGTCTGAATATCTTTCGATATCGATTTATTCAGCTCTATCTCACTATGCTGAACAAAAGGATTGTGAGTGTCTTGTTGAAAAGGTTCCTACCTCACTGATTTCTTGCAATGCTATTTGACAGCTTCCAGAACTTTCTGGGCTTAATTGTGCAGTTTTTAAAAGCATTGCCTACAATGTCGACGTAACTAAATTGTTTCGATGTATGATGCTTACTCTTGAAAAAATTCATTAATAGTGCTGCGATCAACCGCCAAATTCCAACGCTGATGCCATTTGACAAGGATTATCGAGAAACTCTTGGGTCGCCATTCGTTTCCTTCATCGACGCCTTAATGCTGAACAAACTCTATGGATGCGACAGTGAGTTGACGAAAATGATCAGTTCGTGTGAAAGTTGTCCATATTATTAAACGAATTTGGATTACAGCATATGTAGAGACACCACTCTCTCTTTTGTCTTCTCTATTGTCGAAATTTCTTGAGCTTCGCTTGTGCGTGCTTTCGAAAAGCATAACCAATGTATGTTTACTGCAATTGTTCTCAGAGTTGTGTGAAAGGAGGAAAGGAAACAGGAATGGGGGAAAAAAGAGAAAGGAGAAATGTCAAAATGGTGGATATCCCCATCCACTCAATTGCGCCAAATGCGTCTGCCCAGAAGGATATGCTGGAAATCTATGCAATGAGAGGGTACGAATACATTCTCCATTGAGATTACAGTATTTTAGCGATATTTCCAGCCCAAAGGAAACCCAAAGGAATGCGGGCAGACATACAATGCATCGACAGAATGGAGAAATTTCACGGATTTCTTAGGCGATTACAAAGATCATGCAAACTACACCAGATGTTACTACTGGATTGAAGTACGCTACGTAGTTCTGGAAAATGTTGAGAGTGATGACTGTTTGAACAAAGGCACATAGGAACAGTATACAGCGACAACTTAAAACTATGTCTTCTCTAGTTACTGTAGTCGTACTTATTCTAGTCTCCTGAAGACACCGACATTGAAGTAGAGCTTGTGAGCTTCTCCGAAGAACATGCTCTCGAGGGTTGTCGGAACGCTGGTGTAGAAATCAAAACAAACAAAAATCAGCAAGTCACCGGTTACAGGTATAGTTTTCGTAAAAGTATCAGTACGGTGGAGCGGTGTTTTTTTCGGACCCACTCTTACATTTCTTTTTATTGCTTTTTAATTTCTTACTCAGATTCTGTTCTCCAAGCGCAGCAGGAACCAAACTTCGATCTTATACCAATCGAGTTCCTATAATAACATGGAATAGGGCCTACGTATCGAAAACGGTTTTGCGATACCGAAGTGGTAATACATTGAAGTGTGCCTGGATTTGTTGAAGCCTGATTGAACTACTTCAGTTTCGAAGTCTGAGCCTCGACCAACTACAGTAATGCCACTAACCCGCGAGACCCGACCTCCTACCACTACTACTACTACAGCTCCCCCTCCTGTACAAGAGCAGAACAAGTGCGAGGATCGCCCAGAGTAAGGAAAAGGCTACGTTATACGATTCAGAGGAAGAGAATCTAACATAGTATTCCAGATGTCCGGCTCATATCGCAAACGGATTTTGCTATCGTGAGGGTGTCACGTATGAACAAAGGAAGATGTTCTGTCCTCGCGGATGTAAATTATGCGATAAATGAGAATGTTCACATGAATAAATGCTCAACCAATGCTGCCTCACAGATGCTGCTTTCTTCTAGAGTGACGTAAACTTTCAAATACGATTTACCAATAGGAATCTTTCTGCACATAAACAAGCTGTGTCATGGGAACCTTTTCCAACGAGCGTTGTTCGCCGCAAACAGTGGCTCCTTTTCCCTCCTTCACTGTTGAGTTATAAAAATTTAGGGAGTCCATCAAGAGAGTCATGTTCAGAGAACGGCTATAAGATTTATTTTTTCTCAGACAAATTCTTCGAAGCATTCTTCTCGGATACCTTCCTTGACAGTGGCATATATAATACTCACAGCACAAAGAAATCGCAACTGTCTCGGTTAACATCGCCTGGATTGCCGCTGCTGCAGGTAAAGCAAAATGATCAAGGAGCTATGTCTTCGATCCGACCTTTCATACCTTTCGGTCAACTACTCAGTATTGTTCAGCATTGGTCGACAAACACTCAAGAACGTTATTAGTCAATTTTATTTTATTTGCTTGGCATTAGCTGCACAAAGAGGGTTGCTTCTAGTCTGCTAGCTCCTGGTTGTTGTAAACTCCTGATATTTCTAAGATGGTTCAAAGAAGGTTGACCCATCAAGGACAAATCGGAAGGGGCAGAAAAACCAGGGTTCTCAAGATAGGGTTCTTCCAATGGTCTGTTCGCGAGTGATCTCGATCCTAGGTGATTCACCAAAATTTTACCTGTGGAGCTAGACTTGTCGAAATCGTTGATGTGACGGATTTCCAGTATGGAGCTTCATCGAGGCCCTCATCGTACGCACACAGTTTACAACATTGGATAGCATGGTTTGAGAAGGCTTATACCATCAGATAACGTTCTTCACTGACCATCTAACGGAGTGTTATACAATTTAGTTGCGAAGAGGCCGAAGGGAAGATAAAAAACATGATTTTCTGCTTTGCGTGCAATGAAAAGCTATGTGTAGGACCTCGTGAAGGCAAAATCTTTGAGCTGACATGGGGTGCGGGGGTGCGCCATGACAATCTTGCAAGGAAAATAGAGTTGCCCACTCAGCAAAACCTCAGGTCTGTCAAGGATTCGCGGCAATACAATAGGCAGATTTCTTCGACGCTTTCCGATCTTCGGAGGGATTATTCGTGGCGATCTAAAATCGCGCGATCTGTCGCTGGCCAAATCGTGGACTATGAAAGCAGCTAGTGATTACAGGAGCTTCAATCGAGGCGATACTTAAATTGCTTGATCAAGTGGCAGGTTGGTAAGTAGGCAGCTAGTGTTGCCTGAAATGGGTCTCAATTGGCATGGTTGCCCAAATAAAGTTGTGAGGACGAAGCGGAGCCCTAACAGGGATTAAAGGGAAGTGATAAGAACGAATAAGGGACATCGATATCGATCCTGTAGGCAGAAGGTACTGGATCTGTCATGACTTCCTTATGAACAAGGGAGCCTATCTACTCTAATGTCGGAGGTTGCTGGTGTTAGAAGTCGATAACTGATGGCAATGCCACAAGTTTCGTCTACATTCGAGGTCGCATCTACATAAGTGGCTGGTAGAATATCTGAAGACACATGATCCTCAGATCCTAATTTTACTTCAGGCAAAGAGAAAGTCATGAACACATTTCACTCAGTTCTGTTGGCTAATTTGTCAGTCGTTGTGTTGTGCAGTGAACAAACAAACAGCGACTATTTTAACTTTTTTTTTGAAATGCTTCTTCTCCAATATACAACAACGAATCAAAATAGCAAATACTAAGAAATACTCTATGAATCGAACAAAGAATCAAATGACGATAAAACACTGATAGAATCTCTTGAATCCCAGATCAAATGAAGAAAGAAAACAGGTGACTGAATATACTAGTACGCCATCGCACACCAAAAAGGAATTTCAGGGTGATGATAGCGTTGATGGGGACGACTTGAGGGCGCTTTTCGGACCGTGGGCCATGCAAAAACGTTCTCTATAGTTCTTGCGCTAAGTTCTTAGCGCTGGAACTATAGAGAACAATGTAGCGGTCCCTCAAACTCTATTTTCACCGACCAATATTGTTTTCATAGGCGTAAACTCACACAAATAAAACTAAAGCTTCTAGGTCATCTATCAAAAATCAATAACACACAATAACAAAGGACGAGATCACTTCTTTTATGACGTCAGATATCCTGAACGGATGCACCATTGAGTAGCAATCTGAAAATACAAATCTACCATCCATCGAGTGATACGGAAGGTACTGATTTGCCATTCTGATAGAAGACGCTGCGGTGAAAAGTAAAAACTCACCCCATTACCGTAACAGGACAGTTCAAGCTTTGCGTTCGGGTCTGATGGATGATAGGTCCTGAAGCGACAGTATGGTATATCGGTGAGGGCAGCGGCAAAGAGTCCTGCACGTCCTGCCACGGTGCGAAACTCGCTGATGGTGACCGTCGAATTGAACAAAATCGACTTGATCATCCATGGTATCATTAAAGACCGCCAGGTCTAGAAAATGGGAAGAAATCTTAATTGGTCTGAGAAATGGAACGACAGAAGCCTGTGATTAGCATGTCCTCGAAGGATTATTATAATAATACCTTAATAAATTGACACATATCCTCGGCAGTAATAGCGCTAATAGCAGCAGGAGATTCGGAGAACGCTGAGAAGTCTAGACAGCGTACGTGAGCTTCAGCTAATGACGACAACAGAGAACCTGAAATGCTCGTTTTTTCCCAAACGCTGGCCCAAATGTTTGTGACCCCTAAAGAGAGAAATTTCATTAAATATAAGGCGTATAGTATTTTTACTACCATCGAAACCGATGGAAGAAGAATTTTAGAGCAGTCGTGTTGCCGTTGCTGGACTGAACCATTGTTTTGGATCTCTCTGTCTCGAATAGGATAATATTCGCTGATGCTGTGGAAAAGATAAGCAAAGGAGCTAGTCAGGGGTTGAGGGGTTAAGGTGAAGGGCTATATATTAGGTTGGCAAATAAGTCCTGCGACAAAATGGAGACCTTTTTTAAGTCATTTCTAAATTTTCTCATATCAATCAATTTTCGAGGAAATTTTTGCCGAAGAAGTCAACAATCTTCTTTTATCCTTTGAGCCAATCACTGATGCCATCTCTTCAGGAATGAGGGAGCTGTGACTCGAAGAAGTAATTGACTGCCGTTTTTGGATCACATTAAGTTACGAATTTCTTTTCCACAACGGGATGCTCAAAAAGGCGGAGCACATTGTAGTTAAAAGGGGGAACACTCTGCGAGCACGACTGATGAGTAACCTGGAACCAAGCGGGATCGGTGAACTTTTGACGTGGGTCTGAAGCGAATTTTAGGCGTACGATGTCCCTCTGCAAAGACCTGATTTACGGCTCGATCGTCCTTCTCTAACCCCGTTGGTCAAATGAAGGGGATCATAGGGGCAAGCGATAGCAGTGACCATATAGTCCGCTTTAAGCAACTCATAGTGGATGGATTCCTTCAACCTCCAATAAAATAAGGGACGATGCGTGCGTTACTCCGAAGGCTAGTATCTCCTGCAGTGAAGCGAGCAAACTGATTGTTGACCGTCGATCGGTTAGCAGTGCTAGCATTGAATAGATTGCTGATANCAACTCATAGTGGATGGATTCCTTCAACCTCCATTAAAATAAGGGATGATGCGTGCGTTACTCCGAAGGCTAGTATCTCCTGCAGTGAAGCGAGCAAACTGATTGTTGACCGTCGATCGGTTAGCAGTGCTAGCATTGAATAGATTGCTGATACACTCACGTTTTTTCCTTGGCGTGCTTAGGAGAAGGTGGTTTTACAAATGGGGTGTTGTCCATTTATTGACCGTAATGCTGCGAAAGCCCACAGGCGTGTCCTTATTTACTCATGTGTTGATTGCCTGAGGAATGTCCTACAAGTCCATCACCCTTGCTACCGTGTTCACACTGTTGATACAAATTTTCAACGCTTCAAATTTTTTGTCGCAGGACTTATTTGCCAACCTAGAAACAAGGAATACTTGCTACCGACACTTGAATTCCTGGGAATCAGAGATGAACACATCCATAAGAGGCTACCCAATGCACTCTATAGTGAATACAATCTCCTAGAAGCAAACTTGTCTATTTCTAAATATATTTAGGTCAGAAACAAAATTTTATTTGGGAGGGCATTTACTCAAATTTTTTCCACACTTGTTCTGAAAACAAAAGCGAATCAGGGACTCTCTTCAGATGCTTTCCTTCTAAAGCTTTTTGTTTGTTTCTGGGACAGCAATATAGTAACCACTTTCAATTTCGTAATGCCATAATATTTCACCAATTATGACGGAATAAGCTTTGAATGATATCAGAGGTTCACCTTGAACATCGACCCATAGGATGTTCTCGACTTCGTTCTGATGTTTGGCGTCCAATCGCATACGGATCTCTTTCAGCTTTCGCAGATCCAAAGCCGCCTTGATACTGCTGAACACTTCCGCTCCGGTCATATTTTCCAAAACTAGCGAATCCAAGCTCCGAAATGAAGACAATCGCTGCAGGGACAGCTCTCCCATGCACCATGAAAAGTAGGGGTTCTGCGAGCACAGAAGCAAAGACCTGAAATTGAAGCCATCGATTAAGAAACCATCGAAGTCCTTATAAACGAATATTCAAGCAGTTTTCAGCGAACCCAAGATAAACCCATCGAAATCTCACTTAGGATCCAGCGTTCCACACATTTCTTCGCAAAACGCTACGGCGTGTGCGAATCGCTCATCGACTCGTCTCGCTATCAGACGACGTCCTCTTTTCAGAACATCAACTCGAAGAGCCACAATGTCAATGAAAGACAGTAACTGAAAACCATTCCTTATAAAGTGAACTATTGGCATCTATCAGTCTGCAACTACTACTAACTAACTCTGAAGTACTCACAGATTTGACCGTAGTCGAGTCGACTTTCTGAACACCCCCTTTCGAATCCCATTCGGCATTCATACCACATCGTTTGTGTTGAATGTAGATTGCCCGTAAGCGAGCATCGTTTCCACGGAGGCACGCCCGACGCTTAGATCGGTAATCTATAAGTATGACCAGGATCGATTGCAAATGCCAACACATTTAATCATTTCCATAGAAGCAAATGAATAACTGTGCTGTGAGCAACAGGTGTTTTTCTGTTACCCGCATATATGAGCGTATAAATGGAAGCTATGCCAAATATGTTCTTCTGGGTATGTAGTAAATGTATAGGAATTTAAGTGTAGTTGGGCTTCTACACAGAGACAGATGGCCAATTGGAGCTGTGGGTCGAGCGTTCTTTATCTTAAATGGTCCCTAAAAACAACATGGTTAGCTACCTATTTACTAACTTCCTGACTTATTCGCGCTCCCCTAAGTTTCTAATGAAGTCTCTGCTAATGAGAATTTCCCTTTACTATCTCGCCCTAACTCTTTCATACACACGTTTCCATGGTTACTGAAGTTTTTGGCATTTGAATGAAACTGCGTAATCCTAAAGAAAGCAACGGCGATCTTTTTCTCCTCTGCTTTACAAGCACTGTATTTCCCGAGTAGGGCTGATTACCATTTGTCCGATGTGGTCTTCATCACTTGGTTCTCGACTTTTTTTT